GCTCTTCCAGAGGACCTGGGTTCCAGTACCAGCAGCCACCTGTAACTCCAGCCCCAGGGGATCTGATATTCTCTTATGGCATCTTTGGGAACCTGCACACCTGTGTGCACACACACACCCAATAAGGTATGTTTAAAATGGTAGAATGGGTAACTGCTCCAGTAAGAGGGAAGAAGGTGAGGACAACTTAGCGAGTCATGAACTAGAAGCCCTGTGACAGCCTTTGCTATGACCTTGACTTCCTTCCCAGGTCTCAGGCATGTTCTTCCACAGGCCTTGGCGAGTGGAAGAAAGTGTGTCAACCCAGTGTCAGCCATGAGGCGACTCTCCGACCACATGCTGTGCCTGGCAATGCTGGAGACCTGCCTTCCTCTTACTCACCTGGGCTGGGCCTGTCTGTTTCTTCCTTCACAACCATCCAGGGCTCTCTCTCCTGCTCTAATAAGGCGATCAGATCGGGTTTGGAAACGGAACTTCCCACTTAAAAGAAAGAAGAAATGACACGTAGAGACATTTTAAACTCGGTCCCTCTAGTTATCCCAGGATGACCTGGAACTCAATATGATGACCAGGCTGTCCTGGAACTTCTTTGATCTGCCTGCCCCTGCCTCCCAAATGCTGGGATTAAAGGTGTGTGCCACCATGAGCTGCCTGTGTATATTTTGAAAACTACAGACTTATTTATTATGAAGGTCTATACAGTTTGGCATGGTGGACCATGCCTGTTAGCTCAGCAGGTGGGGAATGAGCCGTGCCAATCTGGGCTGCAGAGCAAGACCCTTGTCTTGGAAAACCAGATAAAATACTCTAAGAGACAAAATAATTCTGAGGAAAGACTTCAGAGGAGAACCTGGGTGAGAAACCAGCTGTTGCAGAAAAGGGTTTAATCTCATTTAAATGCAGATAAGGGCTTGTCACTGAAGGGGAAAGTACATATAGTGGGGGAACATGAACCCTTAGGCTACACTGTCTAGTGTAAACCCCTTCTGTGCAATTCACCAATAATGCCATTTATTTATGCAAGCCCCGTAAGATTCTATGCTTAATGTTCCCATCTTAAAAACTGAATATGGAGTCAGGCATGGTGGCACACCCCTTTATTCCCAGCACTGGGGAGTCACAGGCAGGCAGATCTCTGTGATTTCTGGGCTAGCATGGTCTACAAATCCAGTTCCAGGACAGCTAGGGTTGTTACACACAGAAACGCTGTCTCAAAAAAACAAACAAACAAAAAACCTGGGCCTGGTGGCACACACATGTAATCACAACACTTGAGAAGTAGAAGCAGGAGATGAGAAGTTCAAAGACAGCTTTAGTTTCATACACATCCAAAGTTCCTCTAGGCTACATGAGACATGGTCTCAAAAAAAGAAATTAATAATAATGATAATGATAATAATAATAATAATTTAGATTGAGTTGCTAATATCTATTAGGTAGGGTTGATACTAAGATTAAACACTACATTCAAATACTTTGAACACTATCTTACTTACAGTAACACAAAATCATTATTTTTTAAATTTCCATTTATTTACACAGTCATTCTGGGGATGGAACTAGGGTTTGAGCATGCTGGGCAAGTGCTCTACTCTCTACTACTGAGTTCAAGTCCCACTGTTAGCACTATTGTTATTTATGCTGCCTTCTTTCACATGTACACCTCATTCTTACAAATTTACTCAATGAAAAAGACAAATTTACAGCCTGAAACTTCCACAACAAAGCAGGTAAAGGAAGTGTTTGTTGGAAACAGAATGCGTCCACTTCTGTTTTAAGTAGATTCTGCTGATTCATTATGAAGTAAATGATAAAACTTCTTTTGTGTAAGCGTATAGTGTATGCATAGTTCAGGAAGGCGTGGGCACAGTGTATGTAGGTATGCATACATGCAGGTGAGTACAGGTCAAAGACTGATGTGAGGTGTCATCTTTGATTGCTCCCCACTTTGGTTCCTGAGACAGCATCTCTCTCTGAACCCAGAGCTCATTGAGAGGATCTCCAAGGTGTGGACAAAAAGCAGGTGCTTCGGCCAGGCGGTGGTGGCGCACGCCTTTAATCCCAGCACTCGGGAGGCAGAGCCAGGCGGATCTCTGTGAGTTCGAGGCCAGCCTGAACTACC